GAGAAAAAAAAAAGTAAAAGCCCCCTCCTAGAATAATTGAGTTCAAAGCAGCTGGGTCAAGACTTACTACTCCTGCCCAGTATTTTTTTTTTAAACTTTTTGGGTCACACCTGGTGATGCACAGGCGATGCACAGCAGTGGCCCCATCCACAGCCACCCTGGCGTCCGTGCCACAGGGTGACCTGAGTTCTGGGGACAGTCAACCTCTCAGAGTCTTCAAAACAGGGAGAAAGCCTGGACCATGGGGGCCCTGGGAATGAGGCAATCTGGAGGGCGTAGCTCTGCCTTGACGTGCTCTGGCTCTCTGCCCTCAGTCCTGCTTTAGGGTTCCTTGCTCACCCCCAGGTCTTCACAGCCAATCTCCCTGCAGGCAACTGGCGTCCGTGGCCCAGAGTTGGATTCAGTCCAGGCTGCCGAGGCAGAGAGAGTCACACTTAGGTGAGTGACAGCCAGAGAGTTGGCCGCGGGGCGGCGGAGCTGGGAGAGACACGTCAGAGTCTGTAACATGGGGACCCAGTGGGAAAGGAGCGGGTGGCACCCAACATGAAACATCAGCGAGGGCACAGGAAGAGCCCTGGCACATGGGCTCAGAAAGACGCGCCTGACATTTTCCACAAGCGAGTCAGAAACACTTTCGTCAGCATTTTGAGCCTGTCCGGGCCGGCCCACCAGAAGGCTTCGGGCTCAATCCTGGTAATCCTGCAGCGGTCCCGCGAACCAAAGGAGACGTCTGCCATGTCCCACATTTGCAGAGTAAAAACTTTCTACAGTGGGAAGACAGTTCCAAGGACTGGGAACTGCGCCGGTCACGGCCCTGGCCTCCTGGGGGTCGTCCCAGTGGCCCCCAGCAGAGCTTCACTGTCTGGGCAGGTGACCAGATGCCCAGGAAACAAGCCCCTCCCCACCCTGAGCCTGAGAAATCTCCTATTGTGATGCGAGGGAGCAGAGTGTCTGTGATGTGAACAAAGCACTTCAGAAAGGGCCTATAGTGCAGCCCACCCCTCACGGGCCATCCCTGACCTCTGGGGTGGGGGAAGAGTTTCCAGGTGCAGGATTACCCCAAGACTCAAGAAGGATGTGGGGCCGGAAGCTCTGCTCTCCCCAGAGTCCCCCCTGGCCCACTGGCTGTCCCTTTCCTCACTTACGGGTGATCTGACAAGCAGCAGGTTTTTGCTCGTTTCTTGGGAGTTCCTACCCTGGCAAGTCCTGTGAGCCTGAGGAAGGGCTCATGTTAAAAGTGAAAACATATTGCCAGCCAGTGGGTCCAGGGTAGCGGGAACCACCTGAGCTCGTAGCCAGTGTGGGGAGCGGAGGCAGCCATGGGAGGCTGAGCTGCTAACCTGTGGGACTTGTCTCTGAACCCGGGTAGGAAGTGCAGATCTGAGAAGAATCACACACACACACACACACACACACACACACACACACACGTGCACACATGTACATACAAACACGCATCCATAAAACACATGCACACCCATGCACGCACATACGCAAGTACACACACATGCACACACAAAGCACGCATATACTCATGCACACATGCTCATGCACACATGCTCATGCATGAACACACATGCACACATACATGCACATACACACACACGCACACACACACACAGCCCTGCACTGGAACTGGAGCAAGGAATCCTTTCGCTATCCATCCATCTCCCCTCCACGGTCTAGAACATCACCAGGGGCCTTCTGTCCAGTGCCCCACTCCTGGCCCTGAAGCAGGGGCTTGATACAAAGTTACAGAGGGAATTTGCACTTGACTAGGGCAAGCCTGAGAGTAAGAGCTTGACAACGTGGGTGTGACTGCGTGAATGGGGAATGACAGAAGCCACCAATGCACTCGGGAGATCCTGCAGCTACAGGAATTCACACACTACCAAACGCTTTCCTGTTCAGAAACCCAATATGCCTGCAAAGAAACTTACCCAGCAACGCCCCAGCGGAAGCAGTGTCACAGAGCCACACAACAGGGCACCACACCTGGCTGTGTTGGGCTGTGCCCCAGCAGAATTCCTGTATCTGACAGACCAGGAACTCACCCGGCGCCCCTCGCTTGCCTCACACACTCACTAAACAGCCAGGTGTCGAGCTAATAAGCTTTGACTTTGCCTTTAGAGGAAATTTCACAGGATCCTCATAAGCTTTTACCTTGCTTATTCAGATGCGCCAAAACTACAGATGCAGGGACGAGACCTTTATCCACACTTGGACATACAGCCAGCCGGCCCTGCACGGCCAGACAGAAGAAGCATCACGCTGCGCTCGTGGCCTGGTCCCCCACTACCCCACTCTCCACCCTCCCACTCCCGACTGCTACAGACGGTCACAGGCAGAGAAGAGACAGGCCCATGGCGGGGCATTTCCTGGGGCCCTGCCCGCCTGCATTTGGCTAAGTGCCATTCCCGTTCCATGGCCCGGACTGGTCCCTGTGTTCTCTGCATTGAGGATAAAAAAAAAAAACCAACCCTCTTCCTGCCCCAGAGATGGGCCAAGTGGTGAGGACAGGCCATGAGGTTTCAAGTCTGGGCTCTGTGGCCCACTCACCATGTCCCTCTGGGCACCTGGCAACCCTCACCGTGACTCGGTTTCCCTGTCCTGGGACACCGGGCTGTGATGCATCGTGGCCAGCATGCTAAGAGCTGATGTGAAATCATTATCCAGTATGGTGGGCTGGAAATAAAGATCACAGCCTAAAAAGTATAGAACCTGCCTACCTTTTCCTGGGCTTAGCATTGCGAGGGGAACTCCCAGAGGTTTATGGCTGCTTTGGGCTGAGTGGTGGATTGCAACGTGGACAAAACCGCCCTGAGATTGCAAGTGTTCCAGCCCATTCATACAAGTCCCTTTAAAGACATTTTCCTCTCTGCTTCCCAATGAAAAGGAATTTGTTGGTGGCAAAAAGGAACAGATGCCCAGCAGGGATGGCTGCGTGCTGCACTTAAGCTGGATCAAGGACAAGAATAAGGTTTAAAACTCTGTGAACACTGACAGGCGTGGAGGTAGAGGTTATCGGCGACACTTGTGACAAATTACTAGCTGGCACCACCAAGTAAGCAAAGGCACAATGCACGTGCCTCGCTCGCTGTGTCCACAACAAATGAGAAGCACGGGATTCTCTTTCATTTTCACTGATCACACATCAAGCCCCTTGTGTGCAACACTGAGTTTGACGAATCCAGGCGAGTCGGAACGTCACATCAGGAGACTTGGCCCCCGGATTCTACACATGAGCCCTGGGATCGGAAACGCAACTATGTGAGACCGTTGTCATACAGGGTCTGGCCGAAAGCTCTTTGCCCTATGCTGGCGGTGGGATTGGTGGAGGAACACTGCATGCCTGAAACTCTTATAAACTTATAAACGACTTCATGGTGTCTAGAAAGAAAGAAAGAGAAAAAAATGGGGAGCGAAAAAGAAAATTGTTCTGTGATTTCATCACCTGATTTGGTGGATTCGATGCAGAGAAGATGCCGAGTTGTTTCCCTGCCCCAACAAAGGGGCTGACGGAGACGGGAAAGGGGAGTGGGGCAGACTGGGACACACATCACATGAAATCACATGAATGCTTTCCCGTCAGACACACACTCCAGCAGCGCTTGGGGGTACATGGGCCCATGCCTGATCTGCTTCCTCAGGGGCGAGCTTGCGACCCATCACAGTGGCTTTCACAGAAAGAGCAGCTCGAGGGTCATGGCCCCCCACCGGTGCCATTTCACGATCATTAGTAGTACAGACGCCCTCGGTGCTTGCCACAGCCCAGCGCAAGGGAGGGCCTGGGGCACAGCAGGGACTGGTCACAACTACGGCCCCAGCCCCCCTCCACTGTCCTAAGGCGCTTAGATTCTAACTGGTAAGAACCAGCCTCTTCAGAACCCCCACTCATTTGAGGGCCTCTGCATCTTCAAAAAACAACAGCATTTTGTAGCCAGCAAGAGAGCAAATAATCATAGTTTGGGCAACGGGTGGGGAACGGCAGACTGAAGAAATGGCAGGGTGCTGAGGGTGTGTGTAGAGACTGAAAGCCGACAGGTGCCCTGTGCAGAAGGATGGCATGGTCTGGGCCCAGAGCCACCAGGCCAGAGGGGCTTCCTTAGGGGGCCCACACAGAACGGCAGCGCTGCAATGGCCCCAGGATTTCAGGCTGGACACAGCTAACACTTCCCCTTGAAGATGAAGATAGGAGAAGAGCAGACCCATGACCAGAAAGGGAATTCCAGCTGATATAATAATTCCTGTACATACTAAGTCAAAGATTTTCAAGGATAAGCTAAAGTAAAAAAGTTTTAAAAATTAAGGGATTCTAAATGTTTTGAAGGAGGAGGAGGAAGAGGAGGAGGAGGAGGAGGAGGAGGAGGAGGAGGAGGAGGAGGAGGAGGAGGAGGAGGAGGAAGAGGAGAAATCATCAGCAAGTTAAAGGAGGTGTCACAGATATGAGTATCAGGGCTTATCTCAGACTCTCTCAGAACTGTCAAACCTCGGGCAAGGGTGTTAGAGACTGCTAGAGATTGGGGACCTGAGGTGGGGTGCTCCCCAAGAGGTCAGAGGGTGCCCCACAAGAAGATGGGTATGTTTCCCAAAAGGATGAGTGCTCCACAGAGTGCTTTCTGAGAGGACAAGGAGAGCTCCAAGGAATGCTTCCCAAGAGGATGAGGAGTGCTCCAATGGGTGCTCCCTGAAAGGAAGGGGTGCTCCCCAAGAAGATGAGGAGTGTTCCGAGGAGTACACCTGAGAGGATGAGATACTCCCTGAGAGGACAGGGGGTGTGCTCCTGAGAGGATGGGGTGCTCCCCGAGAGGGCAGGGGGTGCTGCGAGGGTGCTCCCCGAGAATGGGGGTGCTCCTCGAGATGAGGGGTGCTCCCTAAGGGGATGGGGTGCTCCCCGAGAGGAGAGGGGGTGCTCTGAAGGGTGCTCCCCGAGAGAAGGATCGACCCTGGGTGACGCAGCGTGAAGGGGGCCCCGAGGGGAGCGGGCGCTGCCACCTTACCGAGTTCCGGGGGCAGCACGGTCAGGCGGTTGCCCTGGAAGTGCAGCTCCTTGAGCTGCGTCAGCTCCCCGATTTCCTTAGGCAGCGAGATGAGGTCGTTATCCCTGACGCTGAGCTGAGGGCGAGAAAAGGGGGCACCATCAGGGGATTCCGCACGACGAGAAGCCCCAGGCTGACCCGCGCTCCGACCTCGGCAGAGGCTCGCAGCCCCCGGGCACCATCGCTCCTGACTGCCACGTCGGCAGCTGGGGAGGCGGGGGCTGGGGGGGGGGTGCAGTATGGAGGAGCACAGTAGTGGGAGGACAGCACTTGCGCCCGTGCGGCAAGCCCAGGCTGCGGCCTCGAGTGGCCTTGATTGGCCGCCGGCGCGGGCTCCAGGAGAGAATTGATTTTCCAAGAATTTAGATAAATTACTTACTATCTGCAACTTTGTGAGCTTCCCGATATCTGGCGGCAGGATTTCAAAGTCGTTGTCACTGAGATAGAGTGCGCGGAGGGTGGCTGCAAATTAAACAGCCGTAAGTAAAACGGGGGGGCCTGGAACCCGGCCACGCGCCCGCGGGTCGATGCCGGGAGTCAGCTTTGATGAATCACCTGGGCCTGGTGAAGCCCGTGACACCCCGGGTGGGGGTCTTGGGGGTGGGGTGGGGACCGTCACAAAAGCCAGCCCGGAGCAGGTCACTGATACTCACTGGCACGGCGCCAGGCTGAGGGGCTCAGGAGAGCGTCCACAGCCGCTAGGGCTCTTTACACGGGAAGCCCACAAAAGCTTGGAGTGCTGGCAGCCCTCCTGAAGGGGGCAGGGCAGGGTGGCTGCCCCTTCTGCAAACAAAGCGAGGATGTAGGTGGGTCTCTGTCCACCTCAACAGGCTGCTGGTGACCTCCCTCCTCCACCCCCCACCTCTTTCTTTACGGACCAAAAAAAAAAAAAATCCTGAAATGGTGATGAAAAACTGACAAGACCTGGGGCCCCCCCAGAGCTATAGTGCAGCAGGGGAGCATCTGCCCTGCACGCAGCCGACCCAGGTTCGATCCCTGGCTCCCCAGTTGGTCTCCTGCATCCCATCAGGAGTCAGGAGTGATCCCTGTGCACAGAGCCAGGAGTTAGGCCCCAAGGACTGCCAGGTGTGTGGCCCCCAAACAAACAAAAGATAATAATAATAATAATAGGGAAGGGGGAGTGATAAGATCAGAACTCAGGCAGACCCAGTATCTAGAAATGAGCGAGTATTGAAGGGGGAAATCCTCCACCAACAAAGGGGGGCTGATGAGCTGTCAGTCTGCAGGTATCTAATTACCTGCTTAGGGTTTAGTGCGTGACACAATGTTATGGTCAAGGCATCTGGATAAAACCATTTCCTTTTTGTTTGTTTATTTTGGTTTGGGGCCACACCTGGAGCGTACAGGGGTTACTCTCAGTGGGGATGGAACCCAGATCAGTCACATGCAAGGTAACTGCCCTACCTGCTATACCATCGTCACAGCCCCTCTGCAAAACTATTGGTTCCGGGGCCTTGAAGACCAATTCAGAGTTGGTTTCGCGGGCCTGGGCAGCCTGGGAGAGCGAACGGCCAGCAGGTGCTGGCTGACATCCTGGAGACAAGCTCAGCAAACCCAGAATCAGGGGCGAAGCCGAGGACCCTGGTCTGAGAAGCAGCACTGGGCCTTGTGGAGCCACCACTGTGGCCTAAATCAGGAGCACTGAGCACGTTTCCTGAGCATGCACAGTGAGCACTGTGTGTGCATGAAAGCGAGCAGCATATTCGTCTGAGGTTGACGAATTCCCAATGTCTGCTCGCATACACATAGAACAGGAACAAGCTGCAATGGGTGACAGCACGTCTTTAGGGGATTACAAGCATGCTGGCTGGCTGGGGCAAGGGGGAAGGTGGGGAAGAATGTAATTCTCCTCCTGGTACCTCACTGGAGGTTTCTTTCCTTCTTTCTTTTCCTTTCTCTCTTTCTCTCTCTTTCTCTCTCTTTCTTTCTTTCTTTCTTTCTTTCTTTCTTTCTTTCTTTCTTTCCTTCCTTCCTTCCTTCTGTCTTTTCCTTTTTGGGTCACACCCGGTGATGCTCAGGGTTACTCCTGGCTCTGCACTCAGGAATTACCCCAGGCGGTGCTCAGGGGACCATATGGGATGCTGGAAATCGAACCTGGGTTGGCTGCATGCAAGGCCAACGTCCTGCCCGCTGTGCTATCGCCCCAGCCCTGGTTTCTGTTTCTTTTAGATATTTATTATTTTTTGGGCGGGGTGGGGACTGGGCGTTGCTTCTCAAGCTGTGCTTAAAAGACCAGTGGGGCCATTCCTGGGGCTATTCATTTAACTGACTGGTGGTTCAATAAATGCCAGGGTCCAAGGATGCGGTGCTACTCGGCCAGTGATGCTGGTGACCACCAGGGTCACTGCAAGCTTTGTGCAGGCAGGACAAGCTACTGGGACAGAGAGTGGCTCCGGGCACAGCCTTACATGCTCGTGACCCTGGGCTGGCTCCCTGGTCCCTGTTTATAGACTCTCTCATCTCGGGGGGGGGGTGAGAGTTGGGGGGTATAATGGGGAAAAGACTCCCTAGCAGTGCTCAGGACACCCCGTTCAGCCATTCCTGGTCAGCAACTGAATTCCATACACAGGTCTGAGGCCGGGCTGCTCGGTCCAGGGTGCAGGCAGGACAGGCCTACCCTAGCAGTGCTGGGGGGAGGGGGGGTGTCTCTGAGCTGCACCCAGCGATGCCTGTGCCAAGCCCAGGGCTGGCCATGTGCAGGGCCGGCACGTCATCCCCGTGGGCTCTCTCTGGCTCCCTGTTGGCAGATTTATATCTGAGGGGCAGGAGCATCTCCGGACAAATAGGATACAAGGCATTAAGCAGGACACGGGAGGAGAAATATGGCTAGTTACGTGGTTTTGCTTTTTTCATTTTAGCACCCGCTTTTGAAAACCAACCGCACTTCTTGGCTCAGCATGGGACCCAAACACTAGGCTGTCCCCTCCGTACAGTGCCGACATGGCATCCCTGAGTCCGCCTGGGCACAAAGGCGCTGGCCCATGTTCATCCAAGGGACGGAAGGAGTGACCAGGCCAGAGGCCAGTGCAGAGGGAAGAAGCACATCCGTCCGTTCAACTAGTTCCTCGACAAACACATGCCACTTCAGGCACTCAGGGACAGCGGCGGAGTTACAGAACAAGAAGCTTCTTACTAAGGTAGAAGAAGTTTCCGGGGAGCGAGTTCTCGTTCAGGTTGTTGTACGTCAGGTCGAGCACCTCCAGCGCGGGGAGGGAGCCAAAGCCGCGGGGCAGGGTGTTCAGCCGGTTCATGCTGTTTATTTGGGGGCAATAAAAAAATAGAGATGTCAGCCCTCCAGTCTCCCCGCCCAGACTGCTCCCACATCACCTGACCATGGCCGCAAGCCACAGGCAGGGGCCAGAAGCTTCCAGAGCCCCCACATGGCCGGACACATCTGCAAACAGCACTGGGCAGTGGAGGGGCCGTCACCGAGTGATGGGGAGGAGGGGGATGGAGCCTCCGGGTCCATTCAGGGGCTTGTTCTGCTATCGGCTTAGAGAAGGTAGACTGCCACGGGGCAGGCAGGGATCTTCATTACTCAGATGGCCTGAGCTCGTTTGGGTTTAGAGAGCAACATAAAAACAGCAAATAATCCACACGACTTTGGAGGTTGCTCCACGCTGCGTGTGCTGTCTGCTTGTGCTGGAGACGTGCTGTCAGGCTGCTGGCAGCTGGGTCTCCCGGAGCACAGTCTTATTAGACAGGGTGGGGGGTGGAGAGCACCGCTCTGCCCAAAACTGATCCAAAGGCCACTGGGTATATCATATCATTCAGAGGTCGCACAATGCACACCCCCCCAAATGTGGCCCTCTTACGGGGGGGGGGGGAAGAATTTTTTTTTTCTTTTTGGGTCACACCTGGTAATGCACAGGGGTTACTTCTGGCTCTGCACTCAGGAGTTACTCCTGGCGATGCTCAGGGAACCGTATGAGATGCTGGGAATCGAACCCGGGTCGGCCGCATGCAAGGCAAACGCCCTACCCGCTGTGCTATCTCTCCAGCCCGGAAATATTTTTAAAAGCCCTGATAGTCACACTTTCCCCAGAGCATCATTCAGAGCAGGGAGTCCAGTCTCTTGAACACTTTTCTTTGGAATCAGAAAATATATTGCTATCACTGACCATAAAAATAAGAAACGCCCCCCCACCCCCACACTCACACACACACACACACAGTCACACACACACACTCACACACATGCACACACACATACACACTCATACACACACAAGCACTCACACACACACATGCAAACACATTCATACACACACAACACACATACACACACTCATATACACACAAGCACTTACACGCACGCACGCACACACTCACACATACACGCTCATAGTCACACACACATGCACTCACACACTCCCATGCCCACACTCATATACACACTCACACACGCACACATGGACATACACTCATACACACGCACTCACACCCATACTCACTCATAGTCACATACGCATTCACATACATGCACGTACTCATATACACACTCACACACATGCACATGGGGCGCTCACCCAAGGTTGAGGTGCTTGAGCTTCTGGAGGCTGCTGATCTGCGTGGGCAGCTCCTCGATCTGGTTGTTGAAGCAGTTGAGCACCTCCAGATTCTTGAGCTCCGCAACGTTGGGGGGCACGGCTGGGGGGGCAACACGGGGCACATGAGAGCCGGAAGCCCACCTGCCCGGGCCATACACCCTCTGCTTCTCTGCCTGGGAAAAGCACTGAGGGCACCCAGCAGGGCCAGGGATCACGTCTGCATTGGACTCCAGGGTACCCCACTGCCCCCACCCCAAGGTGCCCTGTTTGCACTTCCGGCCAAGGAGGGCAGCAGCGGGCAGGGCTGGATCCTGTGTGTGTGTGTGGGGGGGGGGGGAGCAGAAGCCGGAGGACTTGGTGCCTAGCACAGAGACTGGACAATGGTCACCCGGGTCTGCTAAGCGTCACTGTGCCCTCCCTGGGGTCTCATGCAGCTCGGTGGCATCAGCCCTTCCAAGAAAGGAACTCGCCGCACCCGCTCAGGCCCCGCTGCCCCAGAGCCGCCAGCATGTGTGGCTGGAGCTGACCTCAGTGCGACCACAAAGGAAGAAACAGTCACACCAACGCGCTTCCGGTTCTGCTCTGCGGCCTCAGCACCCCCCCCCCCGCCCCCCCGCCACACACACACACACACACACACACACACACAACATCAACGCACGGACAAAGGGACCCACACTCGCACCCTGAAAGGTTCTGGCTTCCCTGGAGCATATACATACTTGCCACCTCGGAACTAAAAAACAAAGGCTTCTTTGCTTAAAAAAAAAAAAATCTGGTTTCTGAGCTACACGCAGAGTTGCTGGGGATGACTCCTGGCTCAGTGCTCAGGGCGGCACCAGGCTGTATCTGGGGTGCCATGGGGAGCGCGAATCACACCCGGGCCTCCAAAGACATAATCAAGAGCTCAGCCCAGGCAACTATGGCACAAAGCTTCTTCTCAAAACTCCTGGGAGCAGGTTCCAGAACTTCCGGCAGAGTGTCCTCCTGTCCCATTCCTGCACTCCGTCACCTGCCCAGCATCTGCCTGGCCACCTGAGCTAGTCCATGGCTCCTGGAACCCGCTTTCGGGGAACCAAGGTCAGGGATGGACACAGGAGTGCTCAGTGCTGGCTGCGGTCACTGACGCCTGTCCCGGCAGCGGGCCTGGGGGACTCCCCCAGGCTGAGCTGAGAGGCAAAGGGCACGCAGAAGCCCCCCCTTACTACAGAGGGGGCGGCCAGTCCAGCGGCCACTCTTAGGGCTTCTACTGTTGAGGGGGCAGGTCCACTCGAGTCTGGCCTCAGCCTTTCCAGTTCTCCCAAACATGAAGGAGAAGGGTCGGCGGCTGGACAGGGCAGGTCTGGACACTGAGGGGCTGGAGGGAGGGCCGGGGCAGGGCAGAGGGCAGCTCAGGGTTGGGTCGGCCCGCAGCAGGTAGGGCGCCTGCCTCGCACACCGCCCACCCAGGTCTGAGCCCTCACACACATAGGGTCCCCCCAGCCCCCTCCAGGAGTGACCGCTGAGCACGGAGCCAGGAGTCAGCTCTGCACACCACTGGGTGTGGCCCAGCCCCTGGTAACCACCCTACCCGCCCTAAGTAATAAGGGCCTCGGAATCCGAGGCCTGGGGGGTGGGGGACCCAGACAGGGCTCCGAGTAGGAGCCCAAGTGGCTGCAGGTGGGGACCGAGCGGAAAAGGGTAAATTTTAACAGAATCCCCGAAGAAGCTGAGAATCTCCTCCAGAAAACACTGAACATGGAAGCCTGAGATCAGAGGGCAAAATGCCTCCTCCAGAGCCCTGCACGCAGGGACACGGGTTGGTGCGAAGGACCCGGGTTTGCTTTAGGGCTCTTCAATGACTCAGGCTGTGCCCAGGGGTCTGTGGAGTGTCACTGACCTGTCCTCTCCCTGTACATAATGAGACATGTCTCCCCCACCCCTCCAGCCACCACCACTAACAGCTTCTCTCTCTCTCTCCCTCTCTTTCCTTCCCCCTTCTCTCTGTCTCTCTCCCCCTCTCTTCTCTCTCCCTCTTTCTTTCTCCCTTTCTCTTCCTCTCTCTCCCTCTCTCTTTCCACCCTTTTCTGTCTCTCTCCCCCTCTATCCTCTTTTTCCTCTCCCCCTGACTCTTCCCCTCCCCTCTCTCCTCTGTCTCTCTTCTCTCTTTCTCCTCTACCTTTCTCTCTCTTCCTCCTCCTCCTCCTTCTCCTCCTCCTCCTCCTTCTTCTCCTTCTCTCTCTCTCTCTCTCTCTCTCTCTCTCTCTCTCTCTCTCTCTCTCTCTCTCCTCTCTCTCCCTTCATCGGATTAGTTTGAAGAGCAATAAAGAAAGTTCGGGCAACCCTGAGAAAATGATGAGCTCCACTTAAGCACAAAGCAAGAATAATGCCGGCAGGACCGCAGCCGCCCTCCGAAGTTACTCCGCCAATGCAATTAAAGGCCGGTCTGAAGGTATCGCCCCTTTTGACAGGATGAGAGATTATTTCACTCTCCTTGCTAAATCAGTCCAATTTAAAAGCACAAATTATGCTAAATGTGATTTAGGGCTTCGTTTTGTGGACACAAACAATAACCCAGCATTCAATTTACCCACCCTTTGGTGTGCATGCAGAATTGGTGCCAAGGGCGCTATCCTCGCAGGGAAGGGGGGGGAGCCCACAGAGCTAATAGTCTCCCCAGCTAGGGAACCTACCCCCCACCCCCGAGCCACAATAAGCATCAGAAGACCTGTCTGGACGGGACCACTGTTCCCCCTCTGGTCTGACACTCAGAGAGTGGAGGACACTCATTCCATCACTCCACGCCCAGCTCCGACGCCCCACAGCCCACCGCCCGCTGGGGAAGTTAAGAGGGAGGCTCCTTAGTGGCGATGAGCAGAGTCCTGGAAAGCCAAACAGGTCTGGGTCTTGGCAAACAAGTCAATGCATGATCATTGCTAAAACACACCCAGGTTGCTACGGCACAAGGCGGGAGGGGGTGTGGAAACTGAGTCCCAAATGCACATGGTGGGAACAGCAGCGGAACAGCTTCAGCAATCCTGAAAAGCAGCCACCAAATTCTCCTAGCACATTGACAAGTGTGCTAACGGAGCATTGCACGTTCATTTCCAACCCTGTCTGTGGCCCCCCGACAGTGGCACAGGACACTCGGGGCCAAGGGTCCTCGTCTGGTCCCTCCACGGGCAGCTCGGTCTTCCTTGACTTGCCCTGCACTTGCCGTGTGTCCTCTAGCAAGCTCCCCGGCCAGCCCTCCCCCTCACGAGAGAGACAAACGAGCACAGCTGAGGGTCGCTCTAAACTCCTCCGCAGGGCTTACATACTTGGATTCTAAGAGCTGGGTTGGGGAAACTAAAAAAAAAAAAAAAAAATTCCGATGACATGGATTTAAATAATGCAACAAGCAGGCCCCTCAATTAGGGAGCCCGGTCATGCAGAACTGCTGGTGACAGAGCAGTGGGGGGGAACTGCTGCCCATGACGGCTGCTCTGATGCCGGGCGGGGCCAGCCCCTCCTCCAGCCTTCTGCTGAGGACCCAGGGGACACGCTCGGCCCTGCGTGCCTAGAGAAATGGGACAAAGGTGCGGCCAACCCCTAACGGCACTTTCCTGCACTCAGCTGTACGGAGTAGCAAGGGTGAGGCACTCTTCCTGCGAGCAGTCCCACCCAGACCCTCCGTAGCAGGGGTGAGGCGCTATTCCTGCAAGCTGTCCCATCCCGATCCCCCCACTCCCCCAGGTGCCCCCCCCCCAAGCACCCAGGGCTGACCTGGGCTCAGCAACCAGCCCCACAGTTTCTAGAAGGCTCCACAGGAGAGGCCCTCTCTCTTGGGGGCTTAGCAGTGGGTCCCATGGAGAGCCTCATCCGGGCTTCCTGTACCCTGTCTGCTTCTGTGGCTTCAGGGACTGAGCCCAGCGAGGGCTGAAAGTGGCAAAGTGCCGGCTCTGGCAGCTAGCATTAGTGTTGTTACTTTTAGTAAGTAAGTAACGGAAAAGGGTAACATTGATTCTTTACTAACAGATAAGTTGAAACAGGAAAGTTACTCATTCACCATGGTGGTCTGGCCTATCGTCTTCTGAGAGCTGGAGAGATACATATGTGGGGAGGGGTGCACCTGTGTGGTGCCTGTGCATGATGTGGGCTACGTGGAAATGCGTGTGGGGGGGTGTGTTCATGTGTGTGTGTGGATGTGTGCACATGTGTGTAGGTGCACTCGTATACGTGCATGTATGTGTGCACATGTATGCATGTGCGTACATGTGTACATGTGTGTGCCTGCATGTGCACGTGCATGTGTGCTATGCTGTGTGTGCGTGTACCTTATCAGGGAGATCCAAGAGAAGCTGCCGCAGAAAGTCTGGCCAATTCTCTCAAGTGCTTGCTGCCTGCCTCCGACATGAGAACCACTGGGGGGGGTCCTTAAACACAGACTGTGGGGTAAGGGCTGGTGCTACCCCAGTCTCTGAGTCAGCAGACTTGGGACAGGGCAAGAGAATGAGCATTTCCTACAGGCTCCAGGAGCGGATGACGTGGCTGGTCGGGGTGGTATTTGGGTGGGTTTGTGTGTGTGTGTGTGGGGGGGGCAACTATTTTGCTTCAGAGAAACATCCTATCATTGGCGCTACCCGGCAAGAGGGTGCAGCCCCAATGCTGAAGCTCCAGGAGGTGGAAGGGTGGATCTGGCCCGAAGTCCGTCTCCCCCTGGGTCAGGTGGGGGCTGATGGCAGAGGGAAACGGAGCGAAACACACACTGGAGAGAATGATGCACAGGAGCTTGGGGGCGCCACCCTCCGCACCCCACCCATACTCCTTGGGAGGGTCGGTGGCCACCTCGGACATGGTGGGCTGGAAGGAAGGGTGCCCCAGGGGGGTCCGTGTGGAGAGCTGCCACTTGCTGCCCGTGAAGCTGCGGGCACTGACCGAGAAGTGCAGCCAGATGCCCACACTGTGGTGCGGGGTGCCCAGGGGAGCGGGCAGCAGGGGGGCATGAGGACACTGCTTCGGGGACTGGGTCTCCACACTGGCACCCACCCACCCACGGTCATCTCAGCGCCTGGAGGCTTTCCCCACAGCCAGCCCCAAAGCCAGGGGCCGCCCCACACTGCCTGGAAGAATCCAGACCCG